GGAGCATCCCTGGTCTGGATGCAGCAGCTGTGGGGCAGCAAATCCCAGGTACAGGGAGCCCCTAAACCACCCACATGGGGTGCTGGGTGTGTAATAAAGTGGAGTTTGATGCTGGTGGGACAGGCATGTTCATGGTGTGTGGGTTTCCGTGCCGTGCAGGCAGGGTGGGGGTTGCTGCCTGCTGCTGCCTGTGTCCTTGACCATGGTCCCTTGCACCCACCTGGCATATCCAGAGCTTTATTGACCAGAAACAGCAGCGAAAAATACAGCGGACATCTGCATCCCCATGCTCCTGGGACAGGCTGGCATCGCCCAGCCCCTGTGCCCACCCTCTGATGTGGGGACAGGATGGGGCTGGCATGGGGAGGGCACTGGGCAGGGTGGGTTTTGGCACAGGGCAGCCCCACAGCATCACTGGTTCACTTTCCCTGCCCCAACTGGTACTGGGCTGGATGTGGCAGGACGAGATGAAGGGCTTGGGTTGGGTAGAGAGAAGGGGTGTATGGGTGTCTTGGGGGTCCTTTGCATTGCCTCATTCCTCCATGAGGACTCAGTCTCCCATCACTTTGCAGGGCAGGGGGTAGGAAAGGGGTAGGCAGGAGTTCTTGCCCACCCTGAGTTTCTCCCTGTCACCTCCACCCCTCTGGTGGGTGCCTGTCTTTGGGGGATCCATCCCCTGCATCACCCAGGGATGCACCCTTTACCTGGAGAGTAGGAGGGGGAGACAGGCAGAGGTGGGGAGTGGGCACAGGACAGAAGTGGGGATGGGGGATTGCCAGCCTGTTGGGGTGGGGTCGGCCTCACCACACCGAGCACTTGTGCACCGGGTTCATGGGCGAGTTCTTGGGGCAGTGGAAAACCCGTCCGAACTCCTCAAACTGCGAGACGCTGCCCAGGACCCTGCCGGGAGAAGGGGGGCAACTCAGAGCTGGGCACCCCCTGCCCACCCCCCGCTGCTGCCATGCACCCCACTCACCCCAGCAGCACCCCATCCCCTGCCCCAGGGCTGCCCACCCAAAACCTGCTGGTGCCAGCACCCCAAAGGGTGCCCACTCCACTTTGCATGGCACTGCCAGCCGTGGGGAAAGGCTGGTACCCACCATCCCCACCCCACCATTTTGGGACCAGCCGGTACCTGTAGTGCTCCGGGGCGTGCTTGTCCGTCAGCACCTGCAGGTAGATGGACTGGGATCGCCGCTTGATGCACCAGTTCTGGGGGGAGAAAGGTTCCCATGGGTGAGCTGGATGGGGCACCCTGGGTTACAGCACCCACCAGGACCTGTACGGTCCTGGCACCAGGGTAGTGAGTGATGCCCTGGTTGTGCTTGTTATTGTAGGGTCTCCTGGGAGTCTGTGTCTGTGGTATAGCTGGACTGAGAGGGCACAGGGCCATGTTTGTTATTGTAGGGTCTCCTGGGGTTGTGAGCTACCTGGCTGTAGGGTCTCCTAGAAGTTTAGGGTCATGTGCATTTGCTACTGTAGGGTCTCTGGAGGTGATGAGGGGAAATGTTTGTTATTGTAGGGTCCCCAGGAGCAGCAGGGCTGTGTGAGGTGCTGAGCCCCATACCCTGTGCCCAGCACCTGTTGATGGAGCTGAGCTCAGCTCCTGGCCATGGGTGCCAGGTCCCCCAGGGCGCTTTCCCCGTCCCTTTTCCCTGTGACGCCCCCTGCCCTCAGTACGTGACACCTGTGGGGAGGGCAAGTGCTCACCTGGGCGAAGGCGATGAAGAAGAGCTGGTCGTGGGTGTATTTCAAGTGATGCAGAGGGTGCTCGGGGCCGTGCTCCCGCACCCACTTCTGGTAGGCCTGGAGAGCAAAGTGGTGCCCTCAGCATGGCCTGGGTGCCCCTCGCCCCCCCCCCCCCAAGCCTTCTAGAAACCAGCCAGCAAGGTCATGCCCACAGCCTGATGCAGGGAGCAAGGTGGGGATGAAGGGGGTCTCCTGTCCACCCAGCAGCTGCCCCATGGCCCTGCCAGGGCTGTGACACCCCAGGGTGGGGGACACTTACGTAGTAGGCAAGTTTGAGGCCCCCCATGTCAGCGATGTTCTCCCCCAGTGTGTGTTTGCCATTCACCTGGCAAGAAAGGAGAGACGATGAGGTGAGTGGAGATGCCCCCTTCTCAGCCAGGCATCACCCCCCCATCCCTACCCTGGCAATGAGGCTGTGCCTCAGTTTCCCCCACTCAATGCCCTGAGGTATTTCCCAGCTGAGGTGTGATGAGTTGTCAGGTCTCAGGGCTGGGCGGCAGGGACCACCCCCTCCATGAGGCAGCATGTTCTGGGGCACCACCTGGAGGGCAAGGGGGGGGGTCTCACCCGCTGGTTGTAGACGGTGAAGTTGTCATAGAGGTTGACAATGCACTGCGCCTTCTTCAGGAACTTGCTGTACGACCGCTCCGTCCACCAGTGCACCAGGTTCCCGTGCCGGTCGTACTGTCCCCCTGCCGAGACCACCACCACCACCACGGGTCACACTGAGGGACACAGGCCCCCCCCAGCCACCCACCTCCCACCCTGGTATGAGGTGGTGGGGGTTGCTCACCCCAGTCATCGTAGCCATGGGTCAGCTCGTGCCCAATGATGGTGCCGATCCCACCATAGTTCAGAGACCTGGTGTGGGGAGTGAAAGAGTGGAGGGCACGGTGCTGGCAGGGCTGGTGGTGACCCCAGGACCTGCCACCCCC